ATATTTTGTACAACGACCATTAATTACACTTATTATTATCATCTTTACCCTGTGTGCAAAAATTGGTGCTATAGATGTCACATAGAGTTCTCATTTAGCAATGCGAAGTTATAAATTAATGCCTATTAACTTCTTTGAGATATACTTGGTACGCCAAACGCCAGGTTGATTGATATTATAAATACGATATTAGGTTAGGTGAGGTATCATATACATCTCTATAACCTCGCATGGTAATTATATTTAAGTAACAAAAGGTCAAATAGAAGTACATTTTACAGTTGAATAAATATCTAATGCAGGATCTATCAGAAGTTACAAAACAACGCATTCATGTCGCATAGAAGTACACATTATCAATAATTATAACGTCTATATGTGATCAATTAAATGCCTATATTTATATTCGCATGGATATCACATTGTTAACAACCTATTGCACATACTTTAAATGTAGAAAAGTACCTATTTATATTCATATATATTATTTATATATAAACCTACTTATCCAACATACCTAAGTTGATTGACTTGAATATATTTGTGTATTGTGTAATGTGTTCATGTAAGAATAAATTATAATAAAGTATTAATTTATTCATAATTTAATAATTAATATTTAGGTATTTAAATCACTTATAATAATATAACAACTAGGTAGGTACCTATAATATATTAATATATATAGGAATATACTCATAAGCGTGCACACGGGGTAGTCAGGGTAGGCACTTGACTACTCTGCGAACAACTCCCCCTCCTCAACTTAATATTATGTTTAACCATTTCAGTATGTCCGTAAACGGTAAAATGTTAGAAATAAGAATACTGGAAAAATTAAAAAAAATATATCGTCGTTAGTAACTGCCATGATAAAATAAATATATCATAATTTTATTTTATCAATTTATTGTATCATGGTTATCGCTGTTCAAACATTGAATTCTATCCATAGAGTAATACCACAGACTATGTTTTCATATACAAGATTTTCAAGGAAGAAAACGATACGTATCGATACGTTCCGGAAACGGGCTCGAGTGTTCAAGAAGTTTACGATACGTTAAAAAGTTACATCTGTATCCACGGTTGTATTATATTATATTGTATTATATATCTATTGTATCGAGATTTGACGTATAGTCTGTGGTAATACTCTATGATCTTATCGCAAACCAGACTGGTTGATTTCAGTTTACAATATTGAGTAATCCATGGCTAAATATATTCATATTTATAATTAGTCATGGAGTAATCTATTTTAGGTTCTATGGCTCCGTGGTAGACCATTGAATAATATCGATATTCGTTTATGATATTAATATTATGATAAAGTATTCGTGTTTTTACCGAATGTGACTACTGACTAACGAATTATTGCTCGAAAAAACGATACCTACATATTATAAAGAATTTAATTTGTAAATTATTTAATAAGGTGTATGTTAATTTAGAATTGTGATTTTAATCTCAAAAAATTTTTTTTTAGGTATACTACATTTAATTATTACTTATAAAATATTTTTTTATTATGGTAAATGCAGTTAAATAAAGTTACCCTATTAAAAATTTTTTGTTCATGTTAAATGTCAATGTGTAATGTATCATGTATGACTACCCTGCCAATAATGTCTGCGCACGCTTATGAATATACTATATAAAACCGCATAGCCAATAAACACAAAAGTAGATTGTAGGTAGTATGACTTACTTTATTGTGTACTTTATTACTTTTAAAACCTCAGTAGCTTGATATTATATATATATTAAAATACAATACTAATACTAGATAGTAGTAGTTAGTAAGATTATAGCAAAAATTATACACTAATTATTCTTATTAGGATAAAATATAGTATAGGAATAATAACAAATAACAGTATTATCCAAGTAAATGCATAATTTTATTTAATAAAGATCATGTAACAATGTAATTGCAACTGCTTTTACATCAGAAATATTAAAAAATAAACACTTATTCTTAATATCACACATATTAATAAGAAAACTATCTGTTTCATTAAATATATCTACATAGAAGTCTCCAACAATATCAGACACTAATGGATTATCAAAAAATGGGACTGCGTTGTATTTTACAACTTCAAAATATACACTTCCATTAGCCTTTTTAATAATTTTTTTAATACAAATAATGACATTGTTTTTCAACAAAAAATACATATTTTTCTTGTTTACAGAACTTAAAATACAATTTTCAGTTATTACATTTTCATAAAGAGTATCTGTGGGATCAGGATGAAATACATGATTATAAACTATTTTATTTTTTAAAATTGGATAACTAGCAATTGGTTCAACTATCTCAATATTTTTTTGTTCTATTATTCTATTGTATACATCTTGAAGAGGAAAACGAGCATTTTTTAATGACATTTTAATCATTTGTAGGCAATTTTCAAATTTGAACGCACTAAATTTGTCCAGTGGTCCATGTATCTTAACAAAATGTGCTATATGAATTAAACCATGTACATTATAGGTAATATACTCTTCACCATATAAAAAAGAATATTCTTCAACAAATTGTCTTAATAAATCATTGGCAACATCATTGTAAGCCATACATGTATCATTAGATAACAGGAGTCTAATGGCACAATGTAATATCATAAAGTGTTTGTAGAGAGATTTTTTTAATCTACCCTTTAGTACAATAGGGCCAGAGTATAACAAAAAAGATCTAAACTCTGTCGCTTTCCAATACTCCAGTTCTTCTAAAGACCGAGGGGAACGACTAAATTCTTTGGGGAAAAATGCTTTAAGACAAATAAGCTCTGAAGAAATTTCATTAGAAATATCATCATTCAAAAATCGAACTGGTTTTTTGCCTTTTTTCCAAAATAACAATAATCTTTTGACAACACCCAAACATATATTGTGCATATATTCTAATACCACGTTGTCTACTATATTTGTATTAAATTTGGTTAGTGGACAAAAACCTTTATGATAGTCTTCATCGTGTTGATTACGAAATGAAATATTTGTTCTTAAAGAAGAATTTAAGTCAGGAAAAGCCATTCGATTATTTAGAAAAACACCTTCTACAATACATGAATTACAGCTATGGTAGGAATTGTGCCCTTTTACATTCAAAATAAAAGCCTTTGCTGGGGCATCACAAATTATCTGGCTAATATTTAAAAAAAAAATGTTGTTATTGATAGACAAGCCACTGACTAATAATAATTCCATTTCAGAAATGAATGGATTTAAAAAATCAGATATTGAATTTGGTTTTTTATATTTATCATGGTAAATTCCAACAGGTACAACTATTTTAGATAATTCATGAATATCAATAAATGAAATTAATATAGGCCAAAAGTTGGATTTTGAACTTTTTGTTGTCGGAAGACCATCAATATTCAAACTTAATTTAACTATAGAAGTATCTTTAATTTTATCAAAGTATTTAGTTAAAATTGGTGTAATCATGAACTCAATACCTATATGAATATACGATCCTGGTTCTATACTAATAATTTCATGTTTTTTAGGAGTTTTTAATAAGGTTCTCGAATCTTTGGGTAATTTGAGACCTTCTGATCTTAAAATTACTAAAAGCTCATTTACAAAGTTATGTGATACATGGTATTTAGAAATTAACTTTTGTAATTTATTTTCCAATGAAATATTATTATCACAATCATTAACATAACAGTCACTTGCAAAATTATCCGTAACACATTCAGCAGTAGTATGTATTACTGTAGTACTAGTTGAGTTAGATTTTGAAAAGCTAATATCTGAACATACGGTCATTTCTGTAGTATCTTCAGACAATGGTGTTACTGGAGTGAAGTTATTTGAGAGTTCCTCCTCTGGTTGTGTTGTTACTTCCATGCTAATACAACCTGATTCCTTTTCGAGTGGATTAGCTGGTTTAATATTTTTAGATAGAATAGTACGTTGAAATTGTCTTCTTGACATTGCATGAATTTCTTTTTTTTTTTTCAACTATAATTAAAACAATAAATTGTATTATTAATGATCAAGAGTGATGCATTTTAATTATGGTGTACAAAGTGAAGCAAGTCTCCAACTAAATATTTGTAGTTATATTTAAATATAATTGTGTACTAATTAATGTGTTCGATGTTAATCTGCTAATAAATAATATAAAAATATAATTATAAATCATTTTAGTAACATTTTAGTTAATACATATATTTGTAATGCTCAAGTTTATCTATATTATATTAAAAAATCTGGAAAAATAATCCCTTTAAGGTGCATAACAAATTTAATAAATAAGGTTCGTTTGATTCATCTTTTTTATCAACAATTGAATTATTATAGTTATACTATGTCATAAGTGTTCCCATTGAATAGAGCGTACAGTTTATAAAGTTTATTAGATTACAATTATACACACCATAATTACTATAAATGATAAAGAGTATTGAATATTATTTAGATATATTTATTGTTTTCTCTCTTGTGAATCTCTGATTACCATGGCGAAACCATTCTTTCACATGTTCTTCGAAAACCACATCAGTATAACTAAAATTAATTCTACCTATTTCTATGGAAAAAATAAAAAATAAACAAGATTTTTAAAATAAGATACAATCATTTTTGTTTTTAAACAATAACTTTAATTTACCTTTCATTATATTAATTATTTTAAGATTTTCAAGGCGGAAATTATTTCGAAATCCGGTCCATGAGCATTTTGATGAAAGCTCGTTTGTAAACAAGCGTTGTAAAATGCGCTTAACAAAATTTTTAATATTCTTACCGCCAATAGTAGAAATGAAATTTATCTATGAATCAAACATTATATTTATGTATGAGAATAATTATGAAAAAGAAACTACTAGGATACCATTTTCTTTTCAAACTGCTCATCATTTTTTATTTTTTCATCAATATTTATAATATTTTGAAAGTCATTAATAGGAAATATAGAAAAACTATCATCCAATGGTTGTTTATTAGCTGGCATAGTTGATGAATCTAATAAATATTTTTCGATTCTATCCATTCTTCCATCAAGTCGTTTAATATAACTGTAAATATTTCTGAGAAGAATTACTTCAGCAGTTTCCACTACAAATGTTCACAAAAATATAATATTAATACCTACACAATTTAAATTTCTGAAAAGGTATTTTTTTAAAAATATTTATTGAAATTGATTAAAAAATAGAAATATTTTATTTATATAGTAGGTATTCATTACCAGGTTCATCAGAAACTATGTTATGATTTACAATATTTGATAAATCCTGCACTGAATGTGTGTTTAAACAAGACATGTTGAAATTGTCTTGTTGAGACGTTTCATTCAAGTTTATTTGTTCATTATCACTTTGATCTATAGAAATAATATTATTAAAAAATTAGTTAAAAGATTTTATGATTATTATTTGGTACTAAATAATATGAACCAATTGCATAATGTGTTTAAAGATTGTTAATATAATATATTGGACAAATTTAGCAATATTAAGATAAATTGATGAACACTAAAAAAAAAAAAAACAGTATGGAAAACAGTATGAATTAATGATATTCATTACAGTAGATAATTGACAAATATACTTTCCAGGGTTATCAAATACAGAAATCATTTCACTAATTGTACTCTGTGGCATAGATGAAAATACATGTGAATTACTATTGCTTTCATATACATTTGGATTGTTCATGTGTCCTGATTCGGACATCTGAGAATTGCCTTCAATATTTTGAAGTGTATTTATCACATCTGTAATTAATTCATTACTTAATTTAAAATGAAATCATTTTATATTTTTTATTTTATGCATTAAGATAGAAAGTACATACATGGTATGCTGCAATTATTAATATTGCTATTAGATACAGCTGCAGGCTCACCAGAGATACAATTTGAGTTAAAATCATTGCTGTATTGATTATAAAGAATACTTTTACTTGGACTTTTACTGGACTTTTTAGAAGGATTAATACTATGGCCAATTTTTATAGGAGAATCGCATATGTCTAAAAATTAAATTTCATGGGTTAACTTATTTTATTGAATTTATATAAAATATTAAGCATTCATCTACCACTGTCAGTATCTTCATTGTTATTTTTTAATCCTTTTCTTTTCCTTTTTCCTCGCCCAAGACTTCTTTCAGATTCTGATAAAAATATTTCTCTTTCTTTTTGTACTGCTTTATCATATGAATCTATATATATTTAAAAATTATGCAAAACAATAAGGTAAACGAAAATCACAATAAAACATACCATAACTTTCACCAATAATATTTACTGGGAAAGATGACCAGTCTACGTTTGGTTCATCTGCTTTTATTATCATTAAAGAAGTAACTCTTTGTTTACTTGGCCATCGACAGAAATCACCTGTACGGGTACTAAAGGTCCAATTACTTGGAATAACAGAATATTTATTTTCATCTTCAAAAAATCCTATTTTCCACTGAAAATATTAAAATAAAATAAATAATTATGTGCATAGTTTGCCTGTATATCTAAAAAGAATTAATTTAACTGTCAAAGACTGAAGACAACTATTTATTTGAGTATTCTTTGTTATCCTAATAATCCTACATTATGTGTTTACTAGATAAGTACTTAACTTAAAAATAAATGGTTTTCACAAAATTATTTTTCACCATAACTTTTCAAATGTTGAATTAGGTAGGTACCTACATAGGTACTTAGGTTAGGTTAGTTAGGTATTGTTAAAAAAAATAAAATAAATTTAATATTTACTTATAGGTATAATAGTTATTCGCTCTATAGTTTTTATTTGAATCGTACCTAGGTATTTTAAAAGTTTTATATATGCAGGGTTGTAAAATATTAAATAGGTATCTACTTGGTATACCTATACTCAGATTCATAGGTGTCAATATGTCATACAGAGAGGACTGATTCAGTAAAAGAATCTGTAGAAGACCTAGGTGTATATTGATTACTGTCATTACTGATTAGGTATTAAGCATTAAATAATATGTAAAAACACTAAAAACATATTTTGTAAAACATCTTTCTTTGGACATTTTATTTTATATAACTATATCTATATTACTTAACATAATTTTTCAATACTTCCATCACTCTCCTTCGAGGTGTAAAGGCCTCTTCAGAAATGAGGAAATTTACCTATACCTGTGTTAACGTCACCATACACTGCAGCGGTGACGGTAAAATTCGATATTAGGAAAAAAAGTCCGGGGAAAAAAAGTCCGAGGAAAAAAAG